GCCGAATGACATCTTGCGGTTTCCACCACATCCGGTTATTCTTGAGGCAAAGTCCCTTAAACAAAAATAAAAGAGGGCCAAGCCACCTGTAAAATGAGAAACGAGTTAAAAACCACCAGACAGAGAGAGAGATGTCATAGGCTGCTTGAGGGGACAAATGATGGATCAAAGGTCCCCTAAAAAAGGCCTCACATCAAAATTTATGCCTCCTAATTGGCCAGATAATATCCATATAAATGACCATTATTTGGCCTCTCATGAGGCCACAAAACCAGAAGAAGAGGAAAAAGAACAAAAAGAAGGTAAAGGTGAACAAGAGAAAAGGACAAAAAATTGCTATAATGTGGAGGAGGACATCAGGGTTTTGATAATGATGCACCCAGGATTTCAGCCATGGCCTCAATGCTCTCTTTCCTAGCAACTCATGAGACCACGAAGAAGAGGAAGATGAAGAAAAATAAGGTCGAAGGAAAACAAAGAAAAAATAGCTAACTTCTATAATGTAAAACAACAATTGGGTTTTTTAGGAGGATATCAAGGTTTAGATGATGGTGCATCCATGGTATTGGCAACGGTCTCAATACTGTCTTTCTACCACGCTACCATGGAGGGATGCCATTTTAATCTCATGGATTAAGGTCGCAGAAATCTATTTTCCATAAATGCACGACATCACTCCATCGAAAAACTACGTTAAGCATATTTACATCACCCTAAATTTTGCACACACTCTTTCCTCTCATTGATCAATCTCAAAAAGAAAAAAATTTAACCGGTGCCCTAGAAAAGGTCGAAACCAATATCCTCTAACAATGAATGCATGTTGTCCATTTGGCGGACATAAAGATATCGCACTTTAAGAATTCAAACAAAAAATATATATATATATATATATATATATTGCCTTAAATTGTTCATCTTATGATGATAAAGGCTAAACTTAAACATGAGGTATTAAACAATATCATCTTAGATAACATTACTAGTACTAGAGGGGCATTGATTTTGGGAATGGTTAGATCAAATACAAGATAAAAAAGTACATAGTTCCTCTGAAGGGGAAATGATTGTCAAATAATTCTCTCATGTGTAATCAACCTCTTCTATGTCTAAGCTCTCTAGGATCACTTAATTACGATCAAAGTTTTACCTATTCGCTGATCCATTTGATGAAATTCATACTGCCTTCCTCAATCACTAATGATTATTGTTTTTGTTTTACTTTTTTGAAAAGAAAAGTAAAAGCAAAGTTGTAAATGTCCAAATAAATCCAAGGAAGAAGCTGTGAAATTTCACTCCCTCCCCTCGAACAATTCAGGCTTCCTTCAGTCCAAAAGCACACAAAAATTAATTTGCGCCCCTGTCTGAGCCAAATGCTATCTAGGGTTTCCACCACATCTGGTTATTCTTGAGGCAAAGTCATAAACAAAAATAAAAGAGGGCCAAGTCACCCGTGAAATGAAAAACAAGTTAAAACCATCTGAGAGAGAAAGAAAGTGATGTAAGAGGCTGCTTGGGGAACATAAGATGGATCAAAGGTCCCCTCAAAAGGGCCTCTCATCAAAATTTAGGCCTCCTAATTGGCCAGATAATATCCATACAAATAACCATTATCTGGCTACTCATGAGGCCACGAGACTAGAAGAAGAGAAAGAAGAATGAAAAGAAGGCAAAGGAGAGTAAGAGAAAAGGAGAAGACATTGCTATAATGTAAAACAGGAATTTATACGAGGATTTCAGGTTTTAGATAGTGGTGCACCCACAATTTTGGCCATGGCCTCACAGCTCTCTTTCCTGGCAACTCATGAGGCCACGAAGAAGAGGAAGAAGAGAAACAGAAGATCAAGGGAAACAAAGAAAAAAGAAGAATTGCTATAATGTAAAATTAGGATTTGTAGAAAGATATCAAGGTTTAGATAATGGTGCACCCATGGTTTTGGCCATGGCTTCACTGCTCACTTTCTGTTGCTCCCATGGATGGATGCTAAGTATCTAGGGTTAAGGTCTGGATAAATCTATTTCTACCATATATGCAATTGTTTCAGGGTAATATAATGGCATCACTCCATCGAAAAACAATGTTAAGGGTATTTTTACCAACCCAAAATTTGCGCACACACTATTACCTAAAAGAACAATCTCAAAAAGGAAAATTTTGATTTTGTGCCTCATAAAAGGTCCAAAATGAGTCATGCCCCAACAATGAATGTGTGTTATACATTTGGTGGACTTGAAGACTTGGCCTTTGAGAACTCAAAAAATAAATACATTATATAGATATATATTTTTCCTAAAATTGTTTATCGGATGACGATAAAGACTGAACTTGGACATGCAGCATCAAACCATAACATCTTAGGAAACGTTATTAGTACTAGAGGAGCTTTGATGTTGAGTATGGTTAGATGAAATACAAGAGAACATAAACGAATGTGCTGTCCTCAACCTGCAATCCCTTAACCTTTTGACACAGCTCCTATTGAAACTGCCTATTGCCTCAACATTATAATATGACGTGTATAAGCACATAATTTTCTAGAAAGAAAAAAGTTGAAAATTGCAATTAAAAAATACATATTTCCTGAAAAGGGAATGATTTACAGTAAATTCTCGCCTATGCAATCAACCTCGACCATGTCTAAGCTCTCTCTAGGATATGTTAATTTCCATATAAAGGTTTTCTTCTTTGCTGATCCCTTCAATGACATTAATACTGCCTTCCTCAATCACTAATGATTGTATAATATTCAATTTGGGTCCTTGCGCTCATTGGCCGGACATATCAAAAGATAAATATAAACATTGCCATCAGTCAAATCCAAAATTGTCTACTTAAACATCACGACACAAAATTCCATCCATACCCCAACTTATTGCCATTGAGGCTATCAAAGGGCACTCTCAGGCTCTCAGTTAGCTGTTCCACCAGCACATAGTATAATGTACATGATTTTTTTCTTTCTCAGCACCTCCCTAAATGATGTGTGAGCGTAGGACAATTACAAAGGAAACTAAGGACAAATCTAATGCTACGGATAGGTGGGACAATAAGCGGATAATGCACTATTTGCAAAAGAGGATATGCATGTAAGCATGTCCATATATATCTGCTATTAGTAATTTTGCAAGATCAAAAACACATGATCAGTGTACCCTCTAATACAATATAATAAAGACAAAAGAAACACAAATATGGTACATTGTACAGCTGAGCAACTAAACAAAGAGTCATCGAATCATTCAAGCTGGGATTATCTGCTACAAGGCTAGCATAAGAATCAATCCAAGTAAGACCTTCTATTAGAAAATGGATAAGAGGCTCCTAGAGAAGAAAATGCAATAAGTAGAATGAGATGAGAGGTTGAAGAGCTTTCCAGAGGATATACTGAGCAATATATGTGTATTAGCAAAGCTAAAAATCGCCTCTAGGATATGATGATGAAGAAACTTCAGTAGAAACTTACATTTTACGTTGTAGAAAAGTAAATTCCTGTCTCAAGGAGGCAGGTTGACCCTCATTAGAGGCACACTTAACAATATCCCAGTCTATCACATGACCCCTTTCAGATTCCGACTGGTGTTGTACAACTACGCTCAAGAGAAATGGGAGGCATTTCCTTTCAAGAGGTAGCAGCATGATCCAAGGTGTAAGACAATAAACTAGTAAGATAGGAAGACTCAAGTAACCCTAACTTCCAGGGAGGTGTACAGAGTGAGCCCCCATGGATGCATAACAAGCCCTTTAGGCATTAGCCAAATGGCATTCAGATTAGGCAAAGAGGAAGGGCCTCTGTTGCCCAGACAGTTCAAGGGAAACCATGGTCAAGACACCATAGTCGGAATTGAATAACTGGGTAGGCAGAACAAAATATGTAAGGCACGGAGAGAGATCTGCTCTAAGGGAGTAAAGTGTAACATGGTGACAAGCATTAGGACGGAGGACAGTGATTAAGTTATTTTTGGCATGGCCTCATGCTAGTTCGAATTGGAATTTCTTATTGAGCATGTTTTAGGTGTGTTGGTTGATTGCAGAGTTGATGGCTGCCCTCTTGGGTCAATAGGGAAACACCAAGCTGCCTGAGAGGGGAGCCCACTTTGGAAGATGTGCCTTGTGGTATTCTGTTAAGGCAATTGACATTGGAAATATAACAAGAAACTCAACAGATTTTACATCTATGTAATGGCAAGCTTTTGGCCTAAAGGAATTCCTAACATATAGACAGTGGTGAAGGGATCATAGCACCAAAAGGATTTCTAAAGCTCTATATGACAAAATTTACCTTGGGAACCCAAGCCCAAAGGCAAGGCAAGTATGGTTAAAAATAGCCAGGGGAAAATCCTCTCTTTTGTCAAGCTGAGTGATTACCTGTGACAGAACTGAGGCTGAAGCAATATCCCCGTGATGGGTCAAGGCTTCTTCTTGAGCACTAAGCAGATTAGGGTACTGATAGCTCTTGAACATGTCATGAAATGTTAACAATAACTAAAAAAAATGACGTGCAACATTTGGGCAAAATTACCAGGAACTTCTCTAATGGGCCTTGGGCCTTGAACCATGGTTCAGCTAATAATACCAGTGATACAATAGAAATAGAAGTCAGAACTCAGAAGCATTTCTCTTTTAAGGTGATCACTTTCTACCATATTCTGATAATCAATTAAATTCACTCATAAGTTACGCAAAAACTAGAATAACGTATTTTTACAGTTCCCAACTGTAAAGAAGTTTATAGCATTTGACCTAAGCACACACTCATGTAAGTTTCAGACCATGAGCAGAATGAAGAAGAATGTCACAGTGGCAAGATGAAAATGCAGAAGAGGTAACAGAGTGATCAATCATAAAATTTTATTAGGGCAGCTCAATGAAAGCATGATTGGATTCAATAAATGAGATGGTATTTAACATCGATTGTCTAATAACTTATCAGCAAAAAGCACTAAATACAAACATAAGCGGCATCCAAAATTATTAACAAATGCTGGTTATAGGGATTAACCTCATTGTATCCCAGAGACAATGCGACATCATGTACGGTCTCCTTGTAAACTCTAGTGCGATCCTTGATTTTGGCCATAGCTTTATCACAACCTATAAAAAATATCACAAATATGCATAAGATACACACGACAATATTCATTCAACTGATTGAAATTGCAGAGACAATAACGCCATTATACCTGTGCTCCACAGGCACCGAAACTACCCTAAACGATGTCAAATGAAGTTGAATCATGAATTTGCCAAGAAACAATCTTAAACAGAATCCAATTGCTAGCTACTGAGCATAAAAATAGAGCCCAATCTTTCTCTGCAGTTCTAGGTTACCGCTGTTTCCTGCAAACAAAGATAGCAAATAAATATTAGAACTTTGTGAATGAGAAAATCTCAATAAAGTTTTACCCACATTCTTCGCTGTTAAATGTCATTGCATCCCGAATAAACAAGATTTTCTTCTCTGATCAAAACATGGAACTACTTTATCAAAGAACTAAAACATCATATCGAACAAACTTCACACTATTGATATCTAATCCAAATGATCTGACCACAAAAAAAAAAATGTGCCCTAAAAATTCAAATCATCAATCCCCAGCCCTAGTGTGGTAAGAGAAGGAAGACAAACAGGACCAAATGCAACCCCACAAAAATAGTGTGGCGTTTGATAACCAGTCTCCCTGGGAATCATCCCTGCTATTGAATCTAGGATAGGGTAAAAGCTGGAAACCCTGTTTGATAAATTGTGGTGGTGGTAATTTCACCTGTTGACAATGGGAAAGCTGGAAACTGCCTGTAATATTGTTAATTATGCATAAATGATGGGAAAGCTGGAAACTGCCCGTAATATTATTAATTATGTATTTCATTTATATGAAGTGCGAAATGCAGTTTTCTAATAAAATATTGTAATTAAATAACATTCCTTCCATTCATCCAATATAATACCAAACATATAAATAGATTCAAAGAATACTTTTGTGCTTGGAGATTTCATAAAAGAAATAAGTGCATCTACTTGTGAAAATGGCTTCTTCAACACAAATATATAGGATATTAAAAGAGGAAATGAGATTACGAAATAAAAATAAAATGATATGAATATAGCATTAGGATTTAGGAGCCCACGCCATTTTTTTCATTCCTAAATACTATGTTGGCTCCCTTACCCATGACCAAAGAAGGAATACTAACAAACTTATTCTTCATAAACTGAATGCAACAGAGCATTTCAACCCATAGTATTGTTGCAACATACCACTGATTTATAACATGGAAAAAATGACATAATTCAATAAACAACCATATGCTGGAGTTCAAATGACATAATTCGAATAAGTCTAGCCATACTATTAGATACACTCGAAGCTTCTAAGCTCTAATGGATCAAATGAACATAAGTCAAGAAACTACTATATGTTGGCTGAACTCCTGGCAAACAATGGCCTTTCAAGTTGATTTGAAGCAAGCTTTCTAGCAATTTCAGCAATTCAAACAAAATAATAATCCAGACATCATAAAAGATATCAAATGACAGTATGGATGCATCCAAGTGGTGATGAACACACAAACATGCAATACAGGAACATTCTCTAAACTTTTTTGGAGAGGGGGGTTGTTCAAAGTGAGAGAGATGCTCCATTAGTGAACAAGAAGAGAGGCCGTCAGAATGCGTTCTTTACCTCTTAACATTTTCTCTCCTTTTTTTTTGACAACCTTACGAAGAGTAAAACAATCTCTAAGCTTTCAACTTCAAATTAGCAAATCAACCATAGTCTTTCTAAACTCCAACACTCTTCTCTTCAATCATCTATTTAAAAGGTCCTGAATTTCTGTCTAACCCTCCCCTACAACAACGGTCTCTTCAATGGTCAGAGTAAGCAAGTCCTTGAATTTCTCTATCTACTGCGATAAAATCACACATCAATCTACAATCAACTAAGTCCTAGAGAGAAAAAAAAAACATATTACTGCCATACCAGGATCTATTGATAAACAGGGCCTTTCTCACTGTAACCAACTCTTTAATCAATCTAAAAAAACCCATAAAATCAAAACTGATTCTATGAAAAGTCAAATGAAGAAAAGGTTTGAGAGAGAACTGAATATTTGAGAGAGAACTGAAGATAGGAAAGATGTTGGAGTAGGGGAGGGTAGAGACAGGGAGAGAATGGAAGAAAAAAGACAGAGGAGAGAAGTGAAATAAACTTCTCATCCATTCCATTTTGAAGAAATGAGAACCATCCATTCCATTTTGAAAAAAAAAAGCATCCATTCCATTATGAATCAAGGAAATAAATCAGAATATACATGAATATTTTAAGCTTTGTTATGTACAGAACATCACCAAAAACCACCAAATAAATAGAGGAAATCCAAGCCACAATAGGAAAAAAAAAATCTTTATGGAGGGAGATTAGCGAGAGATGAAAGTTCCATATTGTACACCGAAATTTCGTGGCTCCCATTTCAAGCCACAAAATCAAGAACTAATGTAGCACTCTAGAATCGGCAAACTAGAATCACCAATACATAAATATATGAATCAAGGTTGCTGATTTTTTACATGCATTTGGGGCATCAATCAGATTATCTTGTTCACTAGTGTATAAAAAGAAATGGAGCAAAAAACCAGAAACATAATAAAATCAAGGAGATTTACAATAGATAAAAATGGGGAAAGCCCACAGGTTCCTCTAGCTCCTGCTCGCAGAGGGTGAGAGAGAAGGGAGGCTCCGATAAGAGGAAGATTGCCGAGAAGGGAAAGAAGAGCGGCTCGCTAGGGTTTTTGACGGGGTTAAAATAGGACGCAAGTTTTGAGAGAAGGAATTTGAGGAATATGGTGGAGAGAGAGAGAGAGGGGCACAAATATAAAAATATGCTAGATATGAAGTGATTGAAGTACCTTCTCAAGGAAGAAAGAGAATCATTTTTTTTGCCCACACAAAGTTTTTAAGTTTAAAAACAAGGAAAAAGTATTTATTGGGCTGACTGAGCCTCTAAATAATCAAATCAGAGCCGAGCTCAAAAATTTCACTAGTCCTCAAATTGATTATCCTAACATAAAAAAATACGTATATAACAAAAAAAAATAGATTTCAAGTTTTGAAAATAGTGCATCTTGTATCGTATTTTTTACGGTTAATTTTTAATATTTTTAAATTTTCTTAAATTGTTCGATCTACACTATTTTTTAAGATTTAAATTTTACAATTAAAAATAAAATTATATTTTAAGACTATCACAAATATTTCCAATATTGAAATCACATTTCTTTACACCATTTGAAGGTATGCTCTAATTTGATTGTTTAGAGCCTCGACGCTATATAAACCGCACACATAAAAAAATTTGAAATACATACATACACAAAGATAGACTTGAGAAGCTTTAACACTCCCAAAAACAGAGAAAGAGAGAGATGAGGTGGTTGAATTACCTTGGCTACAAATATATATTTTTTAGTTATTTTATCCTACAAACCTGAAAACTTTACATAAAATATGAAAGGGGACAGTTTTGGGTTAGTGCTCCTCAGTACGAGGATGTCATCCTCGACCGCATTTTAATTTATTTTATTTTTTTTCCGTTAGTAGGGGAGTGCCCAGGCAATCCGAGGTTAAAATCTTCAGACCGCCTTCTAGACTGAGCAAGCCTCAATTCCTGAGAAGTCCGAGGTAGTGCAGTCTAAGGATAGAGGCCACATATCGTTGTTTTTATCAAAAAATAAGAAAGAAAGAGCGGTCCGAAGATGTGGACCTCGGACTTCTCTCTGGACTGAGAGAACTCAGTTCCAGGGCAATCCAAAGTCTCCATCCTCTGACCACGCTTTATTTTAAAAAAAAACAGCAGTCTGAAAATGGGGACCTCAGACTGCTCTACTAGGGTTTTGATGTGTTCGCAGAGCGAACTGAGGATTCTAACTTCGGACTGCCTCGATACTGCCCTTAAAGCTGCTTCAGGCACTGCCCTACTAACAAAAGACTAAAATAAATAACTAAATAAAATGTGATGTAATGATATATTCCTCGGACCAAGGAGGGGTCAATTTTAAGAAAAATAAAAAAGTTGGTTGACTGACCTTCCTTGTAATTTTTTTCTACAATCGGATCATTTTGTATTTTAGGTAATTATTTACGGTCTGTATGTAATTTACTCTATTTTTTAATCATTTTTCTCGTAGTAAATTTAGGGCCATTTTCTTATAAATTATTATTTGAAAATTTCAAGGGCAATTTTGCATCAGCTCTTCCTAAATAGCCCTTATGTTTTGAATCTATCTACATAATTTATTTTTCCACTTTATTTTTTATATTTTTTTTCTTATTTCTTTATTTTTCATTCACTTTACAATTAAATTCAGTTAAATGATATAAAAAAACTGAACAAAAATAAAAAGAAAATAACTCTATCCTTTCTCACTCTTAAGAGTCACTACTATCTTTTTGATATAAAAAAACTGAACAAAACGACAAAAATAAATTTAAGAAATAAAAGCAGTGAACAAGAAAAAACAACATCATCGTATTATCACAAATAGTGTTTTAGTTGCACAATAGTGTGTTTATTCTTGGGCAATGAGTGTTGAATGAGGGTTATCGTCGAGTTAGATATGAAAAAAACATATGATAGAGTGGAATGGAAGGTTTTGATGGAGATTATGATTAGGATAGGGTTTGGTTCGAAGCGGAGGAAATGGCTTGAGGGTTGTCTATCCTCCGCCCATTTTTCGATTGATTCATGGGTTCCTTAAAGGTTTATTTAGGGCTACTAGAGAACTTCGTCAAGAAGATCCACTTTCTCCATTTTTGTTTACCCTCTCTGCGGAGTGCTTCAGCCTTTTGTTGTAAAATTTCGAAGAGAAAGGCGGCTTTCATGGATTTAAGGTTTCGCAAGATGGACCGAGTGTTACACATTTGCAATCGGCAGATGATATGCTCATTTTTTGCAAAGCATATTTGGTAGATGTTGGCAATATCAAACGGTTTCTGTATTATTGTGAGTTAGCTTTGAGTTTGAATGTCAATTTTTATAAAACTGGTTTGATTGGGATTGAGTATGATGAGAGCCTCTTGGAGACTTTAGCGGGTTATTTGGGTTGCTCAGTTGAATCCTTCACCTATCTTGGTATGCCTATCTCAAATACGAGCCTCCCAATTTCTATGTAGGATAAGGTTATTGAGAGAGTTCAGTCTAAGTTGGATTTGTGGAAGTCTAAGTATTTTTCAATTGGTGGTAGAGGGTGACCCTTATCAAGGCTTGCTTATCTAATTTGTCTGTCTGTATGACGTCCTTTCTAAAAAAATTACGAGGAGTGTGGCTAAGAGAATTGAGTATATGATGTATAACTTTTTATGGGGCTCTTATAATGAGAAAATGTAGCTTCATCAACTTCGTTAGGAGCACGTGTGTACCACGAAGGGACAAGGTGGATTGAGGATTAGGGGGGTGACTATGGTAAATACAGCTTTGTTATCAAAATGGTGGTGGAGAACCTTTCAGCACCAGGAGCAGCTGTGGGGCCAAGTTTTAATTACAAAATATGGTATTGATAGGCGACATAAATGTATTGGTTGTGGGAGACAAGGTCCAAATGCCTCTTTTTTATGGAAATATATTTTCGCTACGAAACAAATTATTCAAAGTAATGTACAGTGGGTTGGTCAAGGATATCGGATTTATTTTTGGCATTCTAAATTGATTGGGGACAATTTCTTGAAGACTTTGTTTCCATATTTGTTTGTTAGAGTGGTGTCACCTAATGCTAATGTCATTGATTTGTTGGAGAGATGGGGGAGCCAGTGGTGTTTCATTTATAACCGTATACTGAACTCTTTAATTGATAAATTTCCTCCATTACTGCAAGGCTTGGATTCGATTTACATTTCAGATCATGGTTCCGATGAATTGGTGTGGGAGCCGAAAAATGATGACCAGATCTCTGCAGAGTCAGTTTATTGGATGCTCTTTAATAACCAATTGAGATGGACTGACCTTAATCTCCCTACTGTCTATAAATGGCCTATACCCCATAAAGTACAAGTGTTCATCTAACTAGGTCTTCCGGAAAATATTATTACTGTAGACAATCTCATTAAGTGAGGCAAGGTGTTACCCATTGTGTTTGATGTATAAGATTGATGTTGAGAGGGGCCCCACTTATTCATACATTGCTCTCTAGTAGCAAGAATTCGGAGCCGGTGTTTCTCTTTGTTGAATATGCAGTGGGTGATGCCTGCACATGTCTAAAATATTATCACTTAATTCTCCTTTATTAACATTCCAAAAGTAAAAAAAGTGATGTGGATCATTTAATGGGATGCAATTATTTGAGAAGTTTGGAAGGAGAAAAATCATATAATATTTTAAGGTTTATGATGCAAATAAAAAAAATCAGAGTTTTTTTATTTTGTATTTTATTGTATTGGGTGAGATGTGTTGAAGGGAGGAAGATTTAGATCGACTAAGTTCACTGGTTTTAGAAATATGGAAAAAAGGTTTAAAGTAAGATAAAGTCCAATGTGAAAAAGAGATAAATAAAGGGGAGTTTTGAATAGTTGTTACAATATTAGAGAGAGACGTGAGGAAATAGATTTTTTTTTTTTATGGGTCCCTTTAGTTATTTATTTATCTTATTTTGAGTTGTATTTAATGGGGAAGAGTATCTCTTTGTAAAACATAAAATGATAATTGAGTAAATTTGATATTGTGCAATGATATTTATGGAGTGGATTATCTTACAGACCTTGAGAGATGATATATTATTTCAAACTTTTATTTTATATTTTATATTGGTTGTTGTTAACTATCCTTGCATCAGTTGGTATCAAAACCCGAGATCCATGCTAATCACAAGATCTAGTTATGGAGCCTCTATATCAAATATTTGAGAGATTCAAAGAATACCTAGTAGAGCGTATGAGGAAATTTATAGCACAAAATCTAGTATATTTATTTCATTGCTGACAATCTGAGGAAGAGGATGAAGAACATGAATAAGGAACTATCAGTGTAAAACATGTTTAGTTTTTACAAAGGAAATGGTACGTGTGTGTTGCAACTCATGAAATAACATAATGTGAGCCTGAAGGATAAATCCAAATTCAGTTTGGTATTCTAGAGTTCGATATTTCAAACATCCACTACAAATCATGTTAGATATATTGTTTATGGAATATACTACAAAATGCCTATAGGCGAAAATGAACAATGACTTTCCCTATCCTCATCACCATCCAAACTTCATCGCACGGTCATAGTTATCCGGTAGTATTTTAAATTTATTTTATTTTTTTACTAATCGGAATGATCTGAAATTTTGAGCGTGTGTACATCTTAGTGAGGCGCACTTAATAAAATTATGAAAAAAATAATTTGTAAAATATAAATTGACAGAAATATCATCATAAATTTTCAGGGGTATTTTGGTTAATTTGTATTTTACAATTTTTTTTTCTTTTCATGTTTTTATTATGTGTACATCACTATGATATACGCACGCTCCAAATTTCAATTAGTTTAGGTTTGTGGAAAACAAAATGAAAAATTAAACACTACCAGATAACTGTGACTGTGCGATGAAGTTTGGATGGTGGCGAGGTTTGTTGAAATCACTGTTTATTTTTGCCTATAAGTTTTTCATGAATTATTTATTAAATAAAAGGCACGAGGTACATGGTAGGACTGCATGACCAACTTATATAAAGCTTCTAAAAGATTTGAGTTCTATAAACTCGATGTCTATCTTCTCCCCACTTGGGGAGAATGATGCAAAAAAAAGAGAACCAAAGTTTTTTTATTTTTGTATTTTTATATTTTATTGTATTGGGTGAGATGTGTTGAAGGGAAGAAGATTTACATTGACTAAGTTCGTTGGCCGTAGAGATATGAAAAAAAGGTTTACGGCAGGATAAAACCAAACGTGAAAGAGAGAATAACGGGGGGAGTTTAAAAGTTGTTACAATATTAAATAATGAGAAAAGAGAGAAAACAGGGAGACGACGATAGAAAAGAGAGGGGCGGAGAAAAGTACATAGCTCTTTAGAGAGAGAAAGAGTTTTTTTCTTTTTTTTTATAGGTTATTTTAGTTATGTTTTTATCTTATTTTGAGTTGTATTTAAAGGTGAAGAGTCCCTCATTGTAAAGCAGAGAATGAGAATTGAGTAACTTTGATATTGTGAAAATACATTTGTGGGGTGGATTCCCTTACAAACTTTGAGCGAGAGTATATTCTCTCAAACTTTTATTTTGTTTTTATTTTTTGAGTTGTTATTATTTCTTCTTGCATTAGTTTCTCTCTATCTTTTGATGGAAAATTGAGTAACATATTTCATACCTCATAGCGTTGGTTCTCAATTACTGAAGAAAGATAGGGTATCTAAATTTGATATACGGGTAAATCTCTCGCACTTGTTGTAAGTACTTCTATCTTAAATCTCCCCTATAATATTTCATCTATCTTACTCATCTCTTTCTCTTTTAATCTCTATCTCAAAATATCTTTTTAGGAAATACTCTTCCGTCATCTCTCACCATAAACCCTCACACCCTATCCCAAAAGCCTATCATGGTCCACCTTATCTGATGAGAAAACAGAGTATTTATTTATCCCTATCGAATTCATTTATTTACTGATCTCTCGCAATGATTTTTTAGCTCAAAAATTTTGTCCTAAGAGAAAAGTAGAAGGTACGATGTCTGTCTCTATCTTCATGTAGCATTTTTCAAATTGTAATATGATTTTTTTTACATATAGAAAATAAGTGGTATAATATCTCTCTCACAAGTCGTGAAACTCAATTAGATTGAAAAAACACTTAGGATTTAGATTATTGAATAGTTCTAATTTTTTATTATAAACTTGAACTTAATAATAAAATAGTAGTATACTTTTTAAATTGTAATATGATTTTTTTTACATATAGAAGAGGAAAACAAAACCACTAACGAATTGAAAAATATACTAAAAAAAACCACTAACGATTTCAAAAAATGGGTAGGGGCTCATCATCCCCACTGAAACACCCAAAAAAAGGGAAAAAAAAAAATCATTTTTTCTTATTAGCATTTAACATCCATGGGATTTACCTTATCCGATAAAAATAACTTATAAAAAAAAAAAAAATATTATAAGTTATTTTTACAGTATAAGGTAAAGCCCATGGAAAAAAAAGTTTTGTTTTTTTCTTTTTTTTTTTTATAATTCAGTAGGGATGATGATCGTTTTTTAAAATTGTTAGTGGTTTTTTAATGCATTAGGTGAGAATGGAAGCCTGGACGTTAGGTGGGGCACAAGTGATGTTACCACCATGACCCCAACCTTATTCTATTTTTTTTTTCTTTCTTGATTATTTAGTTAGATTATATCCTTTTTGCTTCTATCTAAATTTCACCCTTAATGATTTTAACTACATTTTGTTATATTTTAGTTTTTTTATGAATATTTTAATATCATTAGTTCTTTGATGACAATAATAGCTTTCTCTTGCTATTTTCTTGGTGCATTATTGCCTTTTTTGAACTATTTATTATGAAATAAATTTTATGGGAAAATTTGAGATAGAAACAAAGTCGATTTATCATTTAACATAACAATCAAAAAGAAAAATAATCAATTTTTCAGTATTCAATATCAATAGGCTTACCTTATAAGATAAAAATAATAATTTATTATTATAATTATTAAAAAATATAATAATAATAATAATATTAAGGGAAAATTTAGTACACACTCCTAATTCCACATCTTATTTCACGGTAGACCCTCTTGCTATTTTCTTTCAAACGGCATAAAAAATCTCTCAAGTATTTCACCATACCCCCTCGCCTCTTCTCTCCCACGTTAATTCACTTTTGGCAGCAAAAACTACTCTCAACAATTTGTTTTATTCCATCTCAATACAAAAGCTTTTTTTAACCTATTGGAAATAAAAGTGTTGGAAATAAATGAGATGGAATAAAACAATTTGTTGGGGCTTGTTTTTGTGGCCAAAAGTGAATAAACTTGAGAGAAAAGAGATGAGGGGGTACGGTGAAATACTTGAGAGTTTTTTTATGCTGCTTGAAAATAAAATAAAAGGAGGGAAATCAGATAGGGAATCAGGGGCCTGTACGAAATTTTCCCTAATATTAATTATAGTTTTTATTCTTTAAAAGTTATTGTGACTATTTGAACAGTACATTAGTTTTTTAACGATAATACTATTTTTTTTAATGTGATTTAGCATATATAAAATTTGATTATTTGTTTTTTGAGATATCTGAATATATATAGTTTTCTAATTATGAGTTTTGAATTATTAGAAATTATTCATAACTGATGTGTTGTGATTCCATCTCCTCTAACTTCTTTTTACTATTTTCATTTGCACAATGTCCTTCTTGATTCTTCTATTTAAAACAACATTGAAAATCTGTTCATCACATTTAGTCTTTTTTTATGAAAATAATATATCTAAATTATTTATTCCATTCATGCTTTTTAAATAAATACATTAATTTCTCTCTACCTAAGGCCATGTTTTATCGAAATTTTGTTAGTGATAGATATATTTTAGTGATTAATATTAAATATCACGTACAATGCACGTGCATATTACTAATTTATTTAATATATGCAATATTTTTGAACACTCATTACGTATTGTTTTGTAATACAAAATTGATTGAGTAAAGTTATTTTGTCATATGAGGGGTATGATGGATATTTCTATATGGCATTTTACTTGTAGTTAAGACTCGGCTTCATGTTGATCATCTCATGTTAATTACTCAAAATATATCTAGACAAAAAAATTACTACATGATGGGATAAAAGTATAAAGTGTCAAAAAAATATTGATTTTTTTGAGCACATTAAAGAAATATTTATACGTATGAGTACCCTAACATAACCCATTATTGAAACTCAAATAAACATTAACAATCTAATGCTAAATGAAAATGATGATGTAATTTGGTTTAACAACCTTCTTAATATGCATATTGTTTTATTTGAAGTCAGTCGCCATAGAGTGGTTGCACCCCCAGAATTTGAAAGTCCTAAAATTAATGGTAATTAGAGTTTCACCCATGGGATTGAGTCTAAATCATGCTCCTGCGGGAGCATATGATCTTTTTGCAAATTTTTATTTTCCTCTTGAATCCCCGAATTGTCCAACGATTAAAGGACCACAAACGATGGCATACTGGTAATTTTCCCTTCCATGGAAGGGTAGTCTCGTCATTTTTGCTTGGATAATATCAGAAAGCAAAAACCCCCGACTTTTGTACGCACAGAGACGAGCAAATTACAGTGGGAGCAGAGGGGCAAAGCGAACACTGGAGAAAACCAATCTCTCCTATCAATTTTTAGGGTTTTTGTTCCTGATAGCTTCTCAGAATTGTTGTGAAGGAGAAGAGGGCCTGATCATTGACCTCTCTAAGGGCTTTTTCTGCGTTGAAACGAGAGGATAAAGAGAGAGAAAACCCTAGAGAGAGAAACCCCAGTTAGGGTTTTACAAAATCAGGCAAGATGAGGATTATGATCAAGGGTGGTGTTTGGAAAAACACAGAGGATGAGATCCTCAAAGCTGCTGTTATGAAGTATGGAAAGAACCAGTGGGCTCGAATCTCTTCGTTACTGGTTAGGAAATCAGCTAAGCAATGTAAAGCTAGGTGGTATGAATGGCTTGATCCTTCCATTAAAAAGGTATTTCCTTCTCATTGATATGCTTTCTTTTGTTTAATTCTTATTTTTTATGATATTGGAACCCAGTTGAGGCAATTGTGATAGAGAAATCAGGATATTTTCTATGATTTGGTTTTTCCTGTGGCTTTTGTTAGGGTATCTTTTGATGGTTTTAGGGTATTATTGTCTTATTTTTTGCGATTTTTGGATTGGTTTTGTGTTTATGCTATGGTGGCTTTGTTATCTGCTACATGTTGGATTCGTTTTGTGTAGTGTTATGGTGGCTTTATTTTCTGTTACATAGTTATAGTGTTTTTTGGATTGGTTTTGTGTTAATGCTATGGTGGCTTTATTATCTGCTTCTTGTTGGATTGGTTTTGTGTAGTGTTATGGTGGCTTTATTTTCTGTTACATGTCATTTCTGTGTATTACGAAATTCCTCAATGCTGGTTGTTGGGGTTTACTTTATTATTATGGTATAATGATTTTCTGGTGAACCACATTTAGTGATTACAATGAGATTTGTAATTAGTTTACCTTGAAACCTAATCCTATTTATCAAAATTCCTAGGCAGTTTAAGAAACCAAGGTTTTAGCTCAATTTTAGCTAAACATCAGAATTCCCCTACAGTTTCACAAAGTTATTTTAAGGTTTTTCATTGATGTTGTTCTTAATGATTATGTACTTTTCGCTTCTTAGTTTGTGACGAAAAATGGAAATAGACAAACAGTAAAGTAGGGTTCTGATAGCTTGTTTTTCTTAATTTTCAGACTGAATGGACAAGAGAAGAGGATGAGAAGCTCCTTCACCTTGCCAAACTTATGCCCACACAGTGGAGAACCATTGCCCCAATCGTGGGCAGGACACCATCCCAGTGTTTGGAGCGATATGAGAAGCTCTTAGATGCAGCCTGTGTCAAAGACGAGAACTACGAACCATCTGATGACCCAAGAAAACTTCGCCCTGGTGAGATTGACCCCAACCCTGAGTCCAAGCCTGCTAGGCCTGACCCTGTTGACATGGATGAGGATGAGAAGGAAATGCTCTCTGAGGCCCGAGCACGCCTTGCAAATACTCGTGGAAAGAAGGCCAAGCGCAAGGCTCGAGAGAAGCAGCTCGAAGAGGCGAGGCGCCTCGCTTCGTTGCAAAAACGCCGAGAATTGAAGGCAGCAGGGATTGACGGGCGACAAAGGAAAAGAAAGAGAAAGGGGATTGACTACAATGCAGAGATACCCTTTGAGAAAAAGCCACCAGCTGGTTTTTTTGATGTCACAGATGAGGAAAGGCCGGTCGAGCAACCCAAGTTTCCGACCACTATTGAAGAGCTTGAGGGGAAGAGGAGGGTTGATATAGAGGCTCAGTTAAGGAAGCAGGATATTGCGAAGAATAAAATTGCCCAAAGACAAGATGCTCCATCTTCCATACTGCAAGTGAACAAGCTTAATGATCCTGAGGCAGTTAGGAAAAGGTCCAAACTCATGCTCCCACCTCCTCAAATCTCTGATCATGAGTTGGAGGAAATCGCGAAGATGGGTTATGCTAGTGACCTAGCTCTTGGGGATGAGGAGCTTGGGGAAACTAGTGGGGCTACTCGTGCTCTTCTTGCGAATTATGGGCAGACTCCAAGGCAGGGAATGACTCCATTGAGGACCCCACAGAGAACTCCTGGTGGAAAGGTTGATGCCATTATGATGGAGGCCGAGAACCTTGCGAGGCTTAGGGAGTCGCAGACCCCTTTATTGGGTGGTGAGAATCCGGATCTCCACCCCTCGGATTTCTCAGGTGTCACCCCTAAGAAAAGAGAGATGCAAACACCTAACCCTATCGCAACCCCCATGTCCACTCCTGGGGGAATGGGTCTCACTCCTCAGATTGGTATGACCCCATCAAGAGACAGTTATTCTTCTGGCATGACACCAAAACAAACCCCCCTTAGGGATGAGCTTCACATAAATGAAGATATGGATATGCTCGATGATGCCAAGCTTGAAAGAAGTAAGCAGGCTGAGTTGAGAAAGACTCTAAAATCTGGTTTGGTTAGTCTTCCTCAGCCCAAGAACGAGTATCAGATAGTTGTGCAAGCTTTGCCTGACGAGAATGACGAAGCTGAAGAGAAGATTGAGGAGGATATGTCTGATAGAATAGCTAGAGAAAAGGCTGAGGAAGAAGCACGACGTCAAGCATTACTTCGAAAAAGATCGAAAGTTTTGCAGAGGGGCCTCCCTCGACCTCCTAAGGCTGCAGTGGATCTTATCAAGAGTTCTTTGAGCAGGGTTGATGAGGACAAGAGCTCATTTGTCCCGACCATATTGATTGAGCAGGCCGATGAGTTAGTCAGAAAGGAGCTTCTTCTTTTACTCGAGCATGACAATGCAAAGTATCCCCTCGAGGAAAACTCAGAGAAGGAGAAGAAGAAGGGCGGCAAAGGCGCTGCTAACGGGAAATCTGCAGCACAAGTGCCTCTGATAGATGATTTTGAAGAAAACGAGTTGAAAGAGGTATGTCTATTGTTAGCTGGCTCTTTTTTTTAAAAAATAAAAATAAAATCTGATGAGTGTTTCTTCAATTCTTTCTTTTAGATGCTTGTTGTGGATTGGTTCCGCAAATTTATCAGCATTTATTATGACTTAGGAATCCGTCACAAAGTAGATGGGTGGTTCATACAGCATTACTTTCTGCAAAACAGATGTGGTATCTTGCATGTTGGTTCCTCTACCTGCATCTCCTTGCGTATTTCTTTTGAGAAGTATATCCTTTTGTTTATCACTATATTCTTGATCAGTCACCATTCTCAGAAAAAAAATCTTATTTATGAATATTTTCTTATTGGCTGAAGAATTGGTGATAATAGCATCTGCCTATGTTTCTGTGTGTTAGTAATTTTATCTGTGAGGTGACAACCCTTTCTCTAAAATGAATGCTTTTTTACTTATGATGAGTTTGTCATAATCACTTAAGTGATATAACAACTATAGACTAAAAAGATTTTGGGACATAACCAAAGATCTTTCAAGAGGGAGGAAGGGACGAAAAATTATTTATATTTCTCATTTGTTGTTACCGTGACAAGTTCAACATGTTTCTCAAGACTAGTATATTGTGAAGTGTATTTTATTGCAACTGCTTCTCTTACCTTTTGAATGCTGACGTCCATTTTCTATTAATCGTTATCAAGCCTTGGACCTTGCAAGGCTTGTTTGTGTGACCATTCTCTTTACATGCACTGTAATCAGATATCAGGATTTAGTTACTTTATGCAACTATTGAGCAGTGCTTTAAACCTCTCACTTGCTGTGAGACTTGGTCACTGCCCAGTGAGAGTTGGCTTGGTGAGGGCCGAGTTGAATCGCGGAGTGTTACTGGAGTCCAAGAAAAAGAGAATGAAGAAAATCCCAGACATTATGAAAACTGAAAAGAAAAATCATAAAAAAAAGAAAGTATATACAAAATGAAAAATGATGACAAATAAATAATAAGAACTACAGTTATCACAATTGATCCCCTTGTGTTGGTTTTCCTTTGAAATTCAGGGTTGGGCTTGCTTCATGCTTAGCAAAAGTTTGAATTTGTTAAAGGAAAAAAAAAAAAGAACAAGAAAAAAAAAAGAAACAATTAGTGGAGTAGGAGAAAACCTTCTAATATGACAAAATAATCCATCTTACAAAAGGTCCACTCGCAAGATCAAGATATATCTGGAAGGTGTAGAAGAAGCTAGGCTAAAGCGAGGGTTTGTAAGGTCCTTAAATAGAATTTCATTGGTATCATAGATCAAGGGTCAAATGGCTTCAGAATGCGGATAGAAACACTGGCTTCTTTGATAACCACCCCCCCCTCCCACACACACACACAAAACAAAAGGAAAGAAAAGAAAAGAAAAGAAAAGAAAAGAAAAGAAAAAAGCACTGGCTTCTTTGATAAGATTATATGCTAAACACCATCCTCCAAATCAGGGATGATTCAGAGTGCCATGGCTATCTGTAAGGGCATCACAAGACATTTCCTAATGCTGTACACAACCCAAAACCATAATGACCCAGGATGGCTAAACTTCCCTACTTATAATTACCTAGTCACAAGGCTAAATGGCTTGGGAGACCCCCCTCGGTGAGGGGATCATTCTAGCAGTGAAGGAGCTGGGCAGAGAGCTCTGGACCCTAATGGCTTCCCAATCACCTTCCAAAAATTCTGGGATTTCCTTGCCCCTGATGCCCTTGTGGATCCGGGGGTTCTTGACAGCTTATGGGGTTTGGCATCAAGTGGAGAACTTGGATAAACAATTTTATTTACTCTCTATGGTTCTCGCCTCTGTAAATGGTACTAATGTTGTAAAAAACAATGGTCAGATTCACTTGGAGGCTTCGGTTTGGTCGGAAAAATGAAGCAATTCAGTGTGTCACCCAATCTGGAAGAAGACTTCAAATTTTTTGAAAATTTAATATAAATAAAGCATATATTTATGTATTAGAGTATATTTAAATTATAAAAAATTTAATAATAACAAATTCAAAACGTAAAAAATAAATTTTTTTTTTTTTATAAAAAGACAATTCTGTGCTTCGGCCGAAGAGGCTGAATCAGACCAAAACATGCCGAAGTGGATGCACTGGAGCTTCGCTTCGCTTCGGTCTAGGCCAAAAATCCGAAGACTTTGGCCTCTTCGGCTGAAGCAAAGAGAATCTCATAACATTGGTAAACTGCGTATTCAGCTGCCTAGACAATTCCTTATGACTGAGCCGCCCCATTGTTATTTTCTTTTTTTGGCGTTGGGGGGAGGGTGGGGCAAGTAATCTCTCTCTCTCTCACTCTCTCTCTCTCTCTCTCTCTCTCACGATGTCCCATAACCACCTATATATGTTATTTTTGGCTGCATTCTAACATGAACCAAGTAAAAGATCAACACATTACATTGTAGTATTGACCAATCAAGAATGACACCTTATGGTGTTAAAAAGTAACTGTACACTAAGTCATCTCTTCCCCTTCTTTGCCATCCATCCGTCCGTCCATCCTAATCTCTCTCTCTCGCACGATGTCCCGCATTTCCACTACATTTTTTTATAATATTTTTTTGGCTGAGTTGTAACATTGGCCAACTAAAAATCAACACATTACACTGCTTCTTTGTATTCATGTGCCGACTTTATTTTTTAATTTTATTTTTTATTCTTGTTTGTAGCATTGACCAATCCAGAATGACTCTCTATGGTGTAAAAAACTAGCCATGCAGTAAGTCATTCGCACCCCCACCCCCATTCCCCCATAAAAAAAGAAAGAAGCAAAACACCCAAAAAAATAAAATCCATCCATTTGTCCATCTACGTCTCTCTCTCTCACGATGTCTCACAGGACCTTTGCTTTTTTTTTTTGGCTGAGTTGTAACATCAACCAGTAAAGATCAACATATTACATTGCTTCTCTCTCCTCACATGTCAGCCTTTTCTTATTTTTATGACACCTTATATGTTAAAGAGTAAACTGTACATTTGATTTGTTCCTATACACTAAGTCATCTCTCTCTCTCTCTCTCTCTCTTCCTCCATCAATCAATCCGTCTCTCTCTCTCTCTCTTGGATGATTACTCACAAAACAAGTTTAAACAATAAATGTACAAACTTCTTTCATCTAAAGAAGAATGTTCTAAAGTGAAGCCAAATGAAAAGATGAAAAAGAAGAAGAAGATAGGGAAATGAGGAAGTGCCTGCCTAGGGGTCTTTCCTGCCTGGGTGGGCGCCTAGGTTCATATCCGCCTGGGGCACCTACCTACACCCCTTCACTTTGGTGGTCACCCTTGACCTCATTGGCGACCCGCCTAGAGTGGCAAGGCAGGCAAACTTTCGAACAATGAATGGTACACCTAAAGGATTTTTTCCAGCCTTGAGAGGCCTTCATCAAGAGGATCCTCTCTCTCCTTTCCTTTTCTCTATCATGACTTAATGGTGTATGAACATGATTGTCTTCAAGGCTTTCATGCTTGTAGGGAAGGCCCTTCTATTTCCCACCTACAATACCCCTATGATATGCTGGTTTTTGGTGATGCTGACCCTGATTGGGTTGGACAAATTATGGCTGTTCTTCCATGGCGTCTAATTTGAATATGAGAAAGACCAAAATGTTTGGGGTTGGTGTAATGCTTGATTTTGAATCTGTGAAGGGTTGTAGCATGGACAGGCTCCCCAGCAAATAATTAGGGTTGCCCACCCTCTGTATTGGCAGGCCCCACAAAGCTTTGTGGGATGCCGTGGTGGAGAGATTCATCATTGGTTTGCTGCCTGGAAATGTTGTTTCCTCTTCTGGGAGAATGATCCTCATCAAGGTGAACCAGTCTTCCATATGTTGCTCTTTAGTATACTTCACCTCCTGTGTTTGATACTAGGTTTTCTGTGATCTGGGGTAGGCAGCAAGCATGAATTTCATTTGCTGTAATGGGAACAAGTTTGCAAATCCAAAGAGGGGTTTCTGGGTATTTGGAGCTTAAAAGCTGTCAACAGTGTCCTTTTAGTCAAATGGTGGTGGACCTAATGCTAATGCTTTGGAGAGCTATAGGGGATCATGGGCTTTCCTGGATTTTGTTTCAAGAATAAGATTTAGGGTCAGGTTTGGGGATAGAATAAGATTTAGAAAGAATTATGGGTCGTTGACCTACCATAGATTACATTCGCTTGAGGTGGATTAGCATGCGTTGGTGGATTGTTGTTATGAAATGCTGGGCAACCGGATAGTGTGGAGTCCTCGATTCTAAGAGAGATCTTAGAGAAGAGGAAGTAAAATCTCAACACACTTTTGGGTCTTCTTAACACCTTGTATGTCCCTAGGTATGGCAGGGATAACCATGGTATGGACCTTACCCATCTGGCTGTTTCTCAGTGTCGCCCAGTCCTTCCGCCCTGGATGTTCATTAAGAGTGGTTCTCCCCAGTGCCACAAAAAATTCTTTATATGGGTGATTCTTACATAAAAAGCGTGGTCTTGTGCTTTGTTGCAACTTGGATGTCTCTCATTACCTAATCACTGTATCATGTGCAAGAGCAAAAGATACAAGTAACCACCTGTTCCTTCATTGCTCTGAAGCAAGCAAAAATTGGTTGTTCATTCTGTGGCATTTAGGGCATCTGGTGTTTGTTTTGAGATAGGATATTGCACGTCGTGCTTACTTTCTCAGGTTCTAAACTTCTAATGATATAGTGAATTTGACCATGGTGGAAGGCCAGGTCCTATTGGAGGGCCATTAAACTGTATGACCATAGCTGGTGCTATCCCCTCCTTTCTGAGGGGGACTCCCAAAATGTCCTAGCTTGGGCCTCGAAATGGTCCTCAATACCTTAGCGTTTTTAGCACATTTTCCCCAGATTTTTGGGCTTTGGATACTCAAGAAGCTGCATTAAACATGTTTCGTGGGAATATAATGCCGTAGCCACCACTTTGGCTAAGCAAGGCGCTCAGGTTCCCAATTGGTAGTCCATAGATACTAGTATGTTGCTGAAAGTTGAGGACATCAATCACCTTCTCCCTCACTTCTTTGCCCGTCCCAGTTTTGGTTTCTCGCAGCGTCTCATCCAAAGGTGCTTGCCAGACTCTTATAGGAGGTCCTATACCATTGCTAGGACCCGCTTGCTCCCCCTTCTCTGCCCTGGTTGCTGCTTCCACGTTTGCCAGTTTTTGTATAGAGATCATCATAATGAGCTCTGTTTTTCGCCATCGTCTTTCTCATTTTCTTTTTTCTCTTGGTGCACTCTCTAAGTTCTGATTTTATTGAGTAAGTTGATTTTTCTGTGCAAACTGTAGCATTTTGTAGCCTGTTGTCTATTATATTAAGTATGCAATGTTCGTCTGAACTCTGACAGAGTCCAATTTAAGCAATATGGTGCTTGTTTATCTTTTAGAAAAGCACCCAAGCAGCTTATTTATATTTTGGTCTGAGTTAAGACTGTCAGTGGTTTGGATGCTTGAGTGGTTATGATTTATATCCTTTTTTATCTGAGGCAAGGTATCTCTTTATTTTATTAGTAATAGCTAGAATACAGGAAATACGACGGAAACCTCTAGAACGTCTGACATCTCACAAATCCCTAAGGTTAAAGCATTTATCTCCTATTATAAATTCATAAAATCTGGAAGCTTAAGCATGAAGATGGGTTTTTGTTTGATGTCATTGCTTTAGATTGGGATATGCTTTTGGGCTGTATTTGGTGTGCTCTTAGTTTCCCAGGGAAACTGTCATCAATCATGACCCTTACTACAAGTAAAATTCCATTAGTCATCATGGTCCTTCACTCTCTGAAGTTGATTCATCTTGTTTAGTTGTTCATACAGAATTTGTTACTGATTCAAAAGCTCTGTTTATTGAGAGCAATATAGATTTGAAAGAGATCTTGCACAAGGACTATGTACTTGTAAGGGGCAAGTTTACTTTGGGGATGTTCTGTTTCAACTATTTTATTATCAACATATCCTGCAACTGTTTAGGTTCGGGAGATGTGTGTCCCTTCATGGGTATTTAGTATGCCATGTTAGTTGAGTTTCAAAGTGCTAACTTTAAGAGAGAATTGGTTGTTGATTTTTGGAACACAAATGGATGTGCTATGGGTATGATTGTTGGATTTATAGATAAAAATGTTTGATAAAGCAATATATATTTAACTGTAGTTATGGCTGTCCAGAAAAGATCACACACAAAATAAAAGAAGAATACTTGATGCAGGCTGATTCCAAAGGCATAACTTTTCACTCATGTCCTTTTGGGATGATACAAACCTCAAATTGAAGATCTCTTTGAGATCTGCAACCCTTATCTCCATGGATTTTCTTTGTGCATATTGGGCTCCAAATCAAAGCCTTAAGTGTGATGAATCTATTTATGAATTCTAGGATTGATTGAGTTTAGGTTCAATGTGATTAGGAAAGTAAGAATCCTTTTTTTAATGTTCAGAAAGTTTCTTCTTTTGTAATTGGTAGTTGGAATTAGTTTGGGAGTGGAAAGAGGTATTAGTGATTACTAAAATTTAAAATCATCATATCCTAATTTATGCTTTTTGCTTGGCTTTTAGTAATGAGCATTTCGTTACCTATTGAAAACCATCCATGGTGTAGCTAAGATCTGAGACAAAGTGGTCTCTGCAACCATAGCAAGCCTCCAGATAAATGACTGGCTCGTTACTCATTATGATTCATTTTTCAGAGCAGATAACAGACTATCTCAGTCTCAGTGACTTGGGCGAGTCACGTGATTTGGTTGAGTCAACTGGTATTTGGAGTATCTTTTGGAGTTATCTGTATACATGCAATTTTTTTGTCTATTAATCCTGCATTAGCAGAATTTTGTGGATTTATGAGACAAGTATTTATGGAATTCTATACTATAGGACTGTTTGCCTTTGTTGCAAGAAGGTCAGAATCATTCAGGAATCGGGCTTGGATCAAGATGGCAGAGGTCGTTTTCATAGCACAATGCCTCAAGTTCCCATTCCTATTACTCTACGTCTTGGATTTTCTAGTGGTTTGGATGCTTATGAGAATATTTTTATAGTTTCTAGCATACAGAAAAACGGTGCTTATGAGGCACCTAGTTGATGAAGCATGTGTAATTTACTTATGAACACAGAAAATGAATCCAGAATCCAGATCAAACTGTTCATCCCTTTCTCCATTAGCCCAGACAGCTTAGTGTTCCTGCTAGTTATTATTGGAGAAATTGCTGTTATTGGCTTAAAGAATCAGAAGATATGTTAGATATTTGAGTGTCCGAAATTTATGGTTTGCTTCTGTCCTTTTATTTCCTTATTATATCTAATTGTATTATTTCTCTCTTTGTGAGGGCAGGCTAGTGCCCTGATCGAGGATGAGGCCTCTTTTCTCCGTGTCTCGATGGGGCATGAAGATGCCTCCATTGACGACTTTGCTGAGGCTCGTGATGCTTGCCAAGAAGATCTCATGTATTTTCCGTCTCGTAATAGCTATGGCCTCGCCAGTGTTGCCAATAACAATGAGAAGATTGCTGCTCTTCAAAATGAATTCGAGAACGTGAAGAACAAAATGGAGGGTGAGACGAGGAAAGCAGTTCGCCTTGAACAAAAGTTAAAGATTCTGACTCATGGGCATCAGGTATTGCATAAACCCATAATTGCTGCTCTTTTATCTCCAAACTCAATGCTTTGTAATCATTTGTCTGGTTTAGTCTATTTCACCTTTACATTTTGCAATAAGTTGGGTAGAACTTCTGTTTTATATATGTATATGTGTGTGTGTGTGGAGAGAGAGAGAGAGAAGGAAAGGGAAGGGAAAGGGGGGTGGGGGGGTGGGTGGGGGTGGGGGTGGGGGTGGGGTGGGTGTGTGTGTGTGTGTGTGTGTGTGTGTGTGTGTGTGTGTGGTGGTCGTCGTCGTCGTCGTACTCGTACTCTACGTCGTTACTACGTAGTACGAGACGAGTACGTACGTCTACTTACTTCGTTACGTCGT